GTCTAGAGTTTGGAGTATCAGACACATCAGAAGCCTCCTTTGTAACCGATGTGGCAGGTGAGCTTACTTTTTAATGGCCATTGCAGTGAAATTAAAATCATCCAGTTATTTGAATGTGCAAGTAACTTATTTGATTTTTATTGGATGTATTTGGGCTGATGTGTATTATAGTAATTGTTGCTGCCCAAAAAAAAAAGTGGAGTTTTGGGTTACATTTACCTTTATATTGATAAGATTTATTGTGGGATGTTATGAAGCTGTGTTAACTATTTGTATGCCAAACTTATATTTAAAGTTCAAATATATTTTTTTTGTTATTTGCTGCTGAGGTAACAAAAGAAAGAGTTAAGCATAACATGAGCCTGTGTCTTTATAAAAAATATTGTTTAGTCCAAGTGAAATATATACAGGGTTAATCACTAAATTGAGAATTTTGGGGAATTCAAAATGAATTTCAAACGTAAGGCCAAAGAAACCTGAATTAACACAGAATTGACTTGGAATGTTTTTGTTTGTTTTTTTAACCTAAATTGTGAAATTCACCTTACTTTCCCAGCAATTCTCAAATTAGTGAATAATCTTGAATGTATTTAATCCATCTGACACTAACCTTTACATGTTAAGTGACTGATATACACCAGTGAATGATTTGCAATATTCCTGATGGGCATTGAAGAAAGAGCAGAGACCTGGGCTTTGATAGCACCATGAGTAATGATTACTGCAATAGGAAAGTCTTCCAAGAAGAACTACATTAGTAAATAAAACTAAGTCTTGCTCAATTAACCCTGCAGGAGCTTTAATAGTAAGAATTTACAATGTTATTTTTACCTAACCGATCAGAACCCAATGTTAATGACATTATGAAGATGTAAATCGAGAATGCACGGAGGTCTCGCTAGACCAAGCTATTGCTGCCATCGTTATCAGGGAGGCACAAAATATTAGAGCCATTTACATTTATTAGGAAAATAAGAACATCTTATCAGAAAGAAGACCAATAGAGTATAGCCATAGATAGAGTGAAATCTCTGCTGCATCCTAGAACACCCTAAGGGGGTGCAGGAGAAATATACATTTCACCAGACAGGCAGGACTACTACTACATGCATTTATGTGACTAATTTGTGTTAAACATACAAATAAACATTCAGTCACTGACTGTTTGCAGCTATACAGGGAGTGCAGAATTATTAGGCAAGTTGTATTTTTGAGGATTAATTTTATTATTGAACAACAACCATGTTCTCAATGAACCCAAAAAACTCATTAATATCAAAGCTGAATATTTTTGGAAGTAGTTTTTAGTTTGTTTTTAGTTTTAGCTATGTTAGGGGGATATCTGTGTGTGCAGGTGACTATTACTGTGCATAATTATTAGGCAACTTAACAAAAAACAAATATATACCCATTTCAATTATTTATTATTACCAGTGAAACCAATATAACATCTCAACATTCACAAATATACATTTCTGACATTCAAAAACAAAAACAAATCAGTGACCAATATAGCCACCTTTCTTTGCAAGGACACTCAAAAGCCTGCCATCCATGGATTCTGTCAGTGTTTTGATCTGTTCACCATCAACATTGCGTGCAGCAGCAACCACAGCCTCCCAGACACTGTTCAGAGAGGTGTACTGTTTTCCCTCCTTGTAAATCTCACATTTGATGATGGACCACAGGTTCTCAATGGGGTTCAGATCAGGTGAACAAGGAGGCCATGTCATTAGATTTTCTTCTTTTATACCCTTTCTTGCCAGCCACGCTGTGGAGTACTTGGACGCGTGTGATGGAGCATTGTCCTGCATGAAAATCATGTTTTTCTTGAAGGATGCAGACTTCTTCCTGTACCACTGCTTGAAGAAGGTGTCTTCCAGCAACTGGCAGTAGGACTGGGAGTTGAGCTTGACTCCATCCTCAACCCGAAAAGGCCCCACAAGCTCATCTTTGATGATACCAGCCCAAACCAGTACTCCACCTCCACCTTGCTGGCGTCTGAGTCGGACTGGAGCTCTCTGCCCTTTACCAATCCAGCCACGGGCCCATCCATCTGGCCCATCAAGACTCACTCTCATTTCATCAGTCCATAAAACCTTAGAAAAATCAGTCTTGGGATATTTCTTGGCCCAGTCTTGACGTTTCAGCTTGTGTGTCTTGTTCAGTGGTGGTCGTCTTTCAGCCTTTCTTACCTTGGCCATGTCTCTGAGTATTGCACACCTTGTGCTTTTGGGCACTCCAGTGATGTTGCAGCTCTGAAATATGGCCAAACTGGTGGCAAGTGGCATCGTGGCAGCTGCACGCTTGACTTTTCTCAGTTCATGGGCAGTTATTTTGCGCCTTGGTTTTTCCACACGCTTCTTGCGACCCTGTTGACTATTTTGAATGAAACGCTTGATTGTTCGATGATCACGCTTCAGAAGCTTTGCAATTTTAAGAGTGCTGCATCCCTCTGCAAGATATCTCACTATTTTTGACTTTTCTGAGCCTGTCAAGTCCTTCTTTTGACCCATTTTGCCAAAGGAAAGGAAGTTGCCTAATAATTATGCACACCTGATATAGGGTGTTGATGTCATTAGACCACACCCCTTCTCATTACAGAGATGCACATCACCTAATATGCTTAATTGGTAGTAGGCTTTCGAGCCTATACAGCTTGGAGTAAGACAACATGCATAAAGAGGATGATGTGGTCAAAATACTCATTTGCCTAATAATTCTGCACTCCCTGTAAATGTGTGTATACTAGCTTTAAAACAGCTATTTTACCTAATAAAGGGTAATAAATAGATAAAATGGAAAATATGACCATGCTCACAGCTTAAAATATCTTGAAGAAAACTCTTGGTGTTTTTTTCAGGCTATGGACACAAGGAACAGATGCAATGCTTTGATGTTGCTTTCCCTTTTGTTTATCCCACTACTGTCTGCAGTATTCTAATAAGAAAAGAGGCATCTCAGGACAAAAACTGACAAATTAGTCCTCTCTGCGTACTTAAGGGGGAAAAGGGGTGGAAACACATGAATTATAGTAGAATTCTTACAGTATTGACACATAGTTCTGGGGTTTAACAGCCATAAATATACACAAATGTGGAACCCCGTGAAAGGGAATCTATATCACATGCCCAGTGCTGCCTGATCCCATGTACTGCACAATAACCAGCAGCATGGTTACCAAGCCATGGATATCTTAGAAATCAAGGAAGATATCTACATCAAAAAAGTGATTACATTTGTCTCTTCCACACAACCTGCTGTATAAGAAGGCTTATTACTGCCAGGAATATAGAAACAAAGTTAAAGAGACTGTACCCAAGCTCCACTCCTGCAGAACACGACCTCCCCACCAGACATACAAGAACCAGTCCATAAAACCAACAACATTAGGAAGTAAACTAAGCCTTTCCTATGTGACCAGAGGACAGACAGATTCTAGAGTGTGTGAGAATAATTGCTTTTTTTAGGATGAGGAGAGATGGAGAAGATGGAGCCAGGTTTTAAGAATTTGTATCTTGTTAGTAGGCTACCAGCCCAGTGTCAGAGGAAAAGCAGCTATTCATTTATATGTGTTGCTCCTTAGCACAAGGAAAAAAGGAACTACACTGGAGACCTGTAAAAAAAGAATTTCATTCAAACTCCGGACAGTGGTCCAAATAGTGTAAGCTGGTGGGCTTCTGCAAATGCTACATTCAGCAGAAACATAGAATGTCATGGCAGATAAGAACCGTTTGGCCCATCTAGTCTGCCTAATTTTTAAATACTTTCATTAGTGCCTAGCCTTATCTTATAGTTGAACAGCCTTAGGCATATCCCACGCATGCTTAACCCCTTAAGGACACAACATGTGTGACATGTCATGATTCCCTTTTATTCCAGAAGTTTGGTCCTTAAGGGGTTAAACTCCTTTACTGTGTTAACCTCTACCACTTCAGCTGGAAGGCTATTCCATGCATCCACTACCCTCTCAGTAAAGTAATACTTCCGGATATTTTTGAACCTTTGTCCCTCTAATTTAAGACTATGTCCTCTTATTGTGGTAGTTTTTCTTCTCTTAAATATGGTCTCCTCTTTTACGGTGTTGATTTCCTTTATGTATTTAAATGTTTCTATCATATCTCCCCTGTCCGTCTTTCCTCCAAGCTATACATGTTAAGATCCTTTAACCTTTCCTGGTAAGTTTTATCCCGCAATCCATGAACCAGTTTAGTAGCCCTTCTCTGAACCCTCTCTAAGGTATCAATATCCTTCTGAAGATACGGTCTCCAGTACTGTGTACAATACTCCAAGTGAGATCTCACCAGTGGCATGAGCACTTCCCTCTTTCTATTGCTAATACCTCAACCTATACAACCAAGCATTCTGCTAGCATTTCCTGCTGCTCTATTACATTGTCTGCCTACCTTTAAGTCATCAGAAATAATCACCCCTAAATCCCTCTCCTCAATTGTTGAGGTTAGGACTCTATCAAATATTCTGTACTCTGCCCTTGGGTTTTTACATCCAAGATGCATTATCTTGCACTTATCCACATTAAATGTCAGTTGCCACAACTCTGACCAGGTTGGTTCTGCCATAATAAAACCATATGCCTTCAAAAGAAAATAAACTGGTAGGGAGCACGGTGCTAGAATACACTACATCCATCAAGAAGGGATATAGGTCTGTATACATACGGTTATTAATGTGGACCAGCAATCAAAAACAAGTGACAGATATGGCCCAATTGCTGCAATATTTAAACCATTGCTAAACTATTGCTATTGTTAAACTTGCAAGAAAATATGAAGTTTAAATCTTACTTACATAAAGATTTAATTCAGCTTTGTATTCCTGGCACTACAGTATCCCTTTAAGCTTGGGGGATGTAGTGTATGCTGCCCATAGCAACTTCTGTACTGTTACTGTATAACTTTATTTTGGTGATATTCACCGTTAAAGAAATAGATTTATTACCAGATACACATAAAATATTTTTAATTCATTGCAATGTTTTTCTCATATAAAACAGAATACAATATGATGATGATGATAATAAAAAAAAAAAAAAAAAAGAATAATGTTTTGTAAAAGAGTGCGTTTCCACAATGGATTCACATTCTACATGTATTTTTCATGTTTTTTAAAAAGAGTTACTGATCTAAATAATAAAAAAAAGAAAATAGTCTACTTGGAATGAATCAGCGAGGGGTAAACCCACCCCTGTGCAGTCCGCCACGTCCTCGGAAATTTCCTCTATCTCCCCTAAAGCTTCCTCTGTTTCTCTCCCTGCCTCTTTCTCCACGGCCTGCTGAAGGTCCACCTCGACCACCTCCCCTGGATGCTCCGAAGCCGCGATCTGATTTAGGAGGGGGTGTTTTGGGACGGAGCCTTTCAATCTCCTCAGTGCAGCCAGTAAGAGGGGTATTCGGTGCATTAAAATAGGATGCATAAGTCTCCGAAATAAAGTTGCTATTTGTAAGTGTAGGTCCCACAGTCAACCAGCCTGGATGAAAGAAAGACACAATAAAAATTTAACTCTATTATAAAAAGTGTATGCCTCACCTAATCAGTGCTTTGATACATATTATCAAAGTTGCCTAATGTAAGGTACTTAGAGCCAAAAAGAAACTATCCATCCATTGGCAGTGTGTGCAAAAGGTACTACTGTATTCTTACTAACGGTGTGCTGGACCTATTTGATATAGCTTGCTCAGGTTCTCATAACAAAAAATCTAAAGTAGATTGAATGAACACTAAAGGGACCCAAGACCACTTTATCTCAGTCTGGGTGAAGTGCCCCTGTCGTTTTAATCCTACAATGCAAAACATTTTTGTTGCAAGGTTAACACACATCTCCAGTGTATTTAATCCTGAAGGGGGTTCTGCTGCAACTACTTAATTAGACCCAGTTATTCAATCAATGCTGGTCATTGGGAGCATATAATTAGCGCAGTGTTGTAATATGCCTCACATGCAGACTAGCCTTCCAATGCTTTCCTCTGTAAAAATACAAACCCTGTGTTCGGTCTAGCCATTTCTTTTTTCTATCCACGATTTTACACACACAAAAAACAAAACAATGTTAGTAAGGGAAATCTGCCTGCATTAAAGTGACACTAATCAACTAGACCATTTCAGCTTATTGAAGTGGTCTGAGTGCAGTGTCCCTGTCCCTGTCCCTCTGAGTCCTGCAATGTAAATCATTAAGTATTAGAGAAACTGCAATAATTACATTGCAGGACTAAAACTGCCTCTGGTGGTTATCAGACAGCAACTAGAGGCACTTCCTGGCGGCTAATCGACTTTTGGTCGCCTGACGCTGGCATTAAGAGACAGTAAAATCGCTGGAATCATGTAAGTATTAAAATGTTTTTGTTTTTTAACATTTTATGAGCTGGGGAGGGGGAGTGACCAGGGGTATCTATAGTGTAAAGTATACAAATTTGTATTTCTTACACTATAGAATCCCTTTAAAGTTCAAAAGTATTAGTTAATGCACTTCACAACATCTGTAATACCATTAAATAATAATCAATGTATTACAAAGCCAAAAGAAATTTAGAGATTACCAGGTCGAATAGTGCTATCCCGTCCAAAGAGGTGCAAACGTCTCCTTCCAAGACAGAAATGTTCAATGATGTGAAAGATCTCAACAGGCTTCTCAATATTGCCTATCTCTGGTTCTTCTGTGATGATGAGGTCAATGTCAACATTTGCATGGATGAAATCTCCATCTGTGCTGCGATGCACTGTTCCTCTTATGCCCATAAGGCAGTGCTCCTAAATGAACATAACAGTATTCATTAACAGCCAACAACAGTATAGAACAGTCAACAGACATCAGTATATCTACGCTGACATATTGTTGAACATGTTGGTGGCATATAAACAATTGTAATAAACTTTCAACTGGTTTTCAATATTTGCAATTCAAGTTTTCAGTATAGCAATGTACTTCTTAAATCAGGACGGCATTGGTGAAAGGTACTTGGAAACAAAAAGAAAAAAACTATCCATCGGTAGTGTGTGCAAAAGCTACTACTGTAGTCTTACTGTGTGCAGAACCTATTTGATATAGCTGTACCACTAAGGTTCTTTAGACACATGGGCATTGAGAGGATATGATAATTTAACATGTTGTTAGTAGTAACTCGTATGGCTCTCAAAGCAATAGGTTTATTCACTAATTCTGAAATTGTGGAGATCTGAGAATTTCAAATGTCTGGACAAAATAAAGGGATTTGGAGAATTTAAGAATATAGCTTCCTTGACAAAACATTTGCACTCCCACTTGTCACTTCTCTCCAATTACAGTTGTTGATATAATAAACCCCATGTACTTGGTAATGAAACATTAGCTATAATTATATGAATGTTTCCACATTGCCAGCAGAATAAGGAGACAGTTTGTTTCTTCATACAACATTGTTTTTCAATATGACTGAGAATTTTGTGCAGTTTCAATATGGGTTTCACCAAGAGTAGCATTCATGTAATTTTTTGTAAATGAAGAAAAAAAAAAAAAAAATGATGAAGTAAAGAGAGAAATATACATTAGTCCATATGCTACAGTTGTTTGTGACTCTTGATATTTTTAAAAATATAACCTTGATTAAAGAAAAAAATATAATTAAATTGCATCACACTTTTCCCTGAGTTTATCTGTAGAGACTGCATTAAATATCCCTAGCCATTGGTCAAGTTAAAGTGTTGATGTGAATACCTTTGTCCTCTGAAAGATTGCTTTTGGGTCCAGAGTCTTGGTTTTGCCAGGATTGTCTTTATTGGTCTTAATCCAACATATGTCTTCTGATCGTCTAAAACCCCATTTACGCAAACACTGGAAAATATTAGGAGGGACGAGGAAAAATAAATAAAAAACGTCACTGCTTAAGTTTATTATGTGAGTAATGTCTCCTAAATTATGAAGCTGAATTGCAAACTTGTGGAAATTCCTAGCACCTCTTTCACTATAACTATCATTCAATGCTACTGATGTTATGATACACATCTACATATATGGGTGCTTAGCCCATCCTGGGACCCTGAAGCCTGGCTTGACTAGTATGAATCATAGTAACTTTCTGATGGAATACAGCTATATACAATCATAGAAAAAAGAAAGTACACTCTCTTTAAATTATATGGCTTTACATATCAGGACATAATCATCTGTTCCTCAACAGGTCTTAAAATAAGATAAATACAGTCTCAGATGAACAACACATGACATAATACACCATGTCATGATTTATTAAACACAAAATTGAGAAGTCATGTTTGAAAAAAATAAGTACACCCTTACTGGTACAGAGGTGAAGTAGCAGACAGATGCTGCTAATCAAATGTCCTTAATTAACTGATCATCAGTAAACTAGACCACCACTATAATAGCCAAAGTTTTAGCAGTTTGCTAGTCTGGAGCATTCAGGTGTGTAACAATGCCAAGGAAGAAAACCATCGGCAATGGTCTTAGAGAAGCAATTGTGTTATAAGGCCATTTCCAAACAATTGAAAGATCATTATACAATGAGAAAGAGTATTCCAATGTGGAAAACATTCAAGACAGTTGCCAATCTTCCCAGGAGTGGACTTCCCAGCAATTACACCCCAAGGTCAGACCATGCAATGGTCAGAAAAATTGCAAGAAACTCAAGAGTTACATCTCAGGCTCTACAGGACTCAGTTAGCATGTTAAATACGAACATTCATGACAGTACAATTAGAAAAAGACTGAACAAGTATGGTTTGTTTGGAAGGGTTGCCAGAGGAAACCACCTGCTCTCTAAAAAGAACATTTGCCAAGTTGCATCTGAATAAACCACATGACTTCTGGACCAATGTCCTTTGGACAGTCAAGACCAAAGTGAACACAACATATCAATACAAAACACCTCAAGTACAGTGGTGAAGAGTTCATGATTTGGGATTGTTTTTTTTCAGGCATATCACCTAGGAACCTTGGGAGTTATTGAGTAGACCTTGAACTCCTCTGTATACCAAATTGTTCTAGAGTTAAATAGAAGGAAATTTGTCCGAAAGCTAAAGCTTGGCCAAAATTGGGTCATGCAACAAGACAGTGATTCCAAGCACACCAGCTGCAACAGAATGGTTGAAAAAGAAAAGTACGATGTTCCAATGACCCAGTCAAATTGAAATGCTGTGGCTGGACCTAAAAGGTAAACTATAGTGCTAGAAAAACAAAGTTGTTTTCCTAGCACTATAGCTCCCTATAGTGCCCTCATCCCTTGAGCACCCTCTTCTCTGTGTAGTGCAGAAGGGGGTTAAAAATTTCTTCTGTCACTTAACTTATTCCAGCGAAGATGCCCCTTAGCACAATAGGACTTCCCCCATAGGAAAGCACTGTATAATGCTTTCCGATGTGGTTTTGGGTGATGCTGGATGTCTTCATGCATAGCACAAGGACATCCAGTGTCTGTTAGGCAACCAAAAGTTGTAAAACCACCTGGAAGTCCATCTAGTGGCTCTGATGCAATAAATGCAGTTTATGAGCTGAAGTGGTCTGAGTGCCCATACTGTCCCTTTAAGAGAGCTGTGAAGGATCAACTGCCAGCAAACCTCAATAAATACCTAAATAACGATCGAAGAGACTGATAAAGTCATACAGAAATCTATTACTTTAAGTTATTGCTGCTAAAGGTGGTTCTACAAGCGAATTAATTAAAAGGTTTACTTTTTTTTCCCCCATCCATGGCTTCTCCGTTTTGACTTTATTTTTGTTAAATAAATCATGCACCTACTAAGGAACAGATGATTGTTATTATTTTCTGATATGTAAAACCATAGAATTCAACAAAGGTGTACTCTTTTTTTCCCAGGACAATGGGAATTTGTATAGTACACATACATATTTTCTATATCTATATCCAGGTTCCTATTTAACCGTGCCCTGCAGAGAGCCTCAGGAGACAGGATTTCCCAAGTAAGTGGGTTAGGTTTATGCAATGCACACTTTGCATGAGGATGTCCAGGGTGTTAAAATCCCCCAAATGAAAGCATAGAATCAATGCTTCCTGATGGGTAAGGTCTCATGTGCATTAGGATACCCCGCATTGCAGACGACGGAGGATTTTTGGGGGAGGGGGAACACCCGCAATTATTTTAGTGCATAGGGATACCATATCATTAGCAATTAAATAGCAGCAAATTAAAATAATGCATTCTAAAAATCAAGCTTGAAATTAAATTCTAAAGAGCATGTAAAATATTTACTTGGAAACCTGGCCTTTCATTGTAATTAGTAAAGAATGGATTATGGAACATCTGCCTGTATGATTACTCAAGCTAAACCTGGATAGGATACTTCACCATTTTATTGTTGTGCTAAGTAGGTGTAAGAATATAGCCCTGTGTAACCCACTTGCAAACATAGACTGGGCATGCAATATGTGAAGCTGCAAATGACCAGCAGCTGGGGCTCTATACAAAAGGATTAGTTCAATAATGCTTACCATTCTGCCGAAATCCAGACCTTCTCCAGAACCACACCAAAGAAACACAAAAGCCCTAGAGCCAGCAATGCCTTCTATATCTAACTTCATTATCTAAAGTAAAAAGAAATATAAATTTTTATTAACTCCATACTTCACAGCCTTGTATATAGGTCGAGTAAGGGATGCGAATGTGATTTTGTTATAGATTACATTGAAGATGTATACAATAACAACATTTAAAAAAAGAAACTTAGAGAATCTATGAATGTAATACACAACAGATGTGAGACAACAAACATGGACAAAAGGAATATTATGAATTTATAATAAATATAAACATCAAGAAAGCCACAGATAATGTAAGAGAAACAATATGACAATGTTAACTTTGTAAATAGGTGTATTAAAGAGTGAAGTGGTTCTGAGTTAAAATGATAAAGGATAAAATTAAAATACATGTTTAGGTAAATTTCTAAAAGACATGTATACCGATGGCAAAAATTACACAAGGGAAGACAAACAAAATGTACTGCAACAAAATCCATCAGTTTGTGGAATTGATTTCTTTAGGTCACAGATAAATCAGATGGGGTGCAGGCAATAGCTTTTCACGAACAGGTATGAAGTCAGGTTAACCTTTGAACAGGGATCAAATACCATGGGAGCACACACAATCTGTCTACAAATTGTGTCTGTCCTTCACATGACTCACTATCTAGAACCACACATAAACCCAACCACCTCTAACTGCAGCTATTCCTTTTACAAAAGAAACCTTTAATTTCATCACAAAAACTGCTTTGATGGTTGCAAAAAATAAATTAAATCTAATTTAACCCCCTCATGACTGAGCCTTTTCCCAATTGTTATTTTGCGACATAGGCCTTTTTACTATGTGTTTGTTAACGTGTTGATAATTTAACACTTTTCTATTAAGTGTACCCATACATAATACATTTATATTTTTGAAGGACAGATAGGGTTTTTTTTATGATACCCTATATGAATATTTAACTCAATACTAGTTATGAGCAAAATACTAAAGAAAACAGGGGATACAAATTAAAAAAAAAACAAAAAAAAAAAACAAACACAAACATGTTTGCAAAGTTTTGCTGATAATGTCTAAACAACTAAAGAAAAATAATTCTAAATAGATTCACTTTTTAGTCCTCATTGTGCAATGCCTCATACGTCCAGGATATAAATATTTTTTCTGAATTCATAGGACAATATGGAAGAATCCAAAGTCACTACACCAAAGTATAGATTTGTAAAAAGTAGACCAATTAAGGTATTTAACTCAGGGCTTGACAAATCCCAGGCGCCAGGTCGCCATGACGCCTAGGAATTTTGCCTTGGCATCTGATATGTGAGTCCGGCGGCTGGTTTTTTGTGAGGCTGGCTGAGAAATTATGGAGGCGGTTGGCAAGTTGGGGGATCATGGAGGCGGGCGGCTAGCTGTGCGTATTGCTGCTGGTGGGCGAGGGAGCTGTGATGTCCTTGCTCTTCTCCCCAGCACTTTGTGAGACCTGGGCCGGGATATGACGTCATATTCCGGCCCCACTAAGCATCGCGCTGGGGAGCAGAGCAGGGACATCACAGCTCTGCTTTCTGCCTCCACGATCCCGTTGCATGCCGCCTGTCTCATTAATCCCCCAGCTGGTCGCCTACAGGTATTGTCTGTCTGTTATAGTGTGATTATATAGGTCTATCATAGTGTTTGTGTGTGTGTGTGGTGTATGCATGTGTGTCATGGTGGTTGTGTTTGTAGGCGTGGGTCAGTCGCGGCACGTGTGTTTAGGTTACCAGACCCCTTCCGTTTGCAAGGGAATGGGGTTTTTAACTCACCTTTTTTTTCTCCACGCCATGCTGGTATCCCCTCGACTGGCCCTGCCTCTATGGCTGAGATCATCAATGTTTTCGAATAGAAATGGCTGCAAAACGCTGCACCAATAACTATCTCCTCATAGAGATGCATTGATTTAAATTGAATGTAGGTGCTGCACACACAGGAAGCTCCTCTAGTGACCATCTGAGTGACGGTCACTAGGAAGCAATGTAAATGCTGCCTTTTCTCTGAAAAGTCAGTGTTTACATTGAAAAGCTTGAAGGGACAGGCTATAGACACCAGAACCACTACATTAAGCTGTAGTGGTCCTGGTGAGTATCGTGTCCCTTTAAGAATGGTATTTTTATTGTTAAATATAAAGCTATGCAAGTTTAAAAAAAATAAATAAAAAATTTAACTACGTTGCGCCACGCCTGCTTGAGCAGTCGCATCGATAGCCATCACATGTATGCACCACATATGGAGCCAGTCACAAAGGGGTTAAACGTTCAAGTATACTAGAAGTGTATTGAAACATGAAACAATTAGCTAGGGCAGACAAATAGTTAAAATGTAGATCTATACATGTGTGCTTTTCATCTAAACCAACATCTATGCCAGTGCCAGTGAGCATCTGTTGCATACTGGCCAGCACACAAACACTAATTAACCATGAGAGTAAAAGCAGAATATGCTCATTATTAATACTCAAGATGGAGGCTGTTTATCAATTCTAGAGCACAAGGTTGAATAAAGAGCCATAACTCAAAAGATATTGCTTTCTCATGACTTACATCTTCCCAGGTCCACCACTTTTCATTAGCTGCAATACCAGTCTCTCTGTAATATTCCTCTAATGGAGGCTCCAGAAGGATTACATCAAATTCACTCTTCAACTCTCTGAGGTCAAAGGTTTCCAAGTCTGCTTGTAAATACCTGTTAAAAAAAAAAAAAAGAAAAAAAAAGAAAAAAAAAAAAACATTAATTTGAATGACTAAAATTGATGTTACACTCCAGACTAAAGCTGATCTCAATTTTGAAATGATTTATACAAAATTGTTACATTAATTTAAGAGTATAAATAATACTAAAAGAGTAATTGATTGTTTTATAAGACACCATGCAATTTTACAGAAGAAGCACACCTACATGGGTGGAGTATTGGACTGACAGATTAACTCATCCTTTAGTCTGATCAGCTCCCTGAGTTTAGGGTATTCTTCAAAACGGTCTGCTAGACCTAAAAATAAAAAAAAATAAAAAAGTAAAAAAAGAAAAACAAAATCAATTACGTATGACAAGACAGCTGCTGCCATACAGACAATCATGAAATGAATCCAAACCTGTACTACATTATATCTAGAGTGAATTGCAATGTAAAAGAAAATGGATTTTAAATGACAAAACACATAAATCGTAGGAAATTCATATAGGTTATTTTTCATACCCCACTACTTGAGATAAGGTTGTTGGACCGAACCTAGGCTAACCAAACTGACCAAATTGCAGGCATTCCTTAGTATCTCTGAAATGGACTTAAACATAATGTCTTGGCCTCGACCATTAGCCTGCTGGACCATAAATCGTTTATAGAAATAGGAGTTAGTGCTGCCTCTTCCGCAAATGCAAAATTTCTATTGAAAGGTCCGACCCAAAAAAACAGGCAAACTAAAGGACGGCTGTGAGTGTAAGAATCAAATTAACCTACCGACGTCTCTGATGAAATTCTGCGGTCTGTGTCCTGTATCAACAAAATGCTGGCAGTAATCATTATGAGGATTCAGGCTTTGCGTTCCCTAAAACAATTAAAACAGATTACAGTCTTTTCTGAATTCCAATTTCAAGATTATTCATGCAGGCAATCAGGTGCTAGGTAATCCACAATCTGACATGGTACGGTGTGAAATATCATCACACTATTTCACAAAATTGGGATAATAATAGATCATTTGAAAATATTAAGTAAAATACTGTATAATGGATAGTGGACAAATGAAAATTGTAAGCCCTTTGATACTACCGGTACATGTAGTGCTACTTACAGTGAACTACTGCAATTATTATTTTTTTTTAAATTGGTAAATCAATGTAAACATTTTTAATGTGACTGCAATGCATGTAAAGTAAAGTATTGTAAGAAAGAACAAATAACTCAATCGGATTACTTTTTTGTTGAAACTAAACCCCAGAGTGGTCACATTCATTCAAGGAATGTAGTTCAAACTTGCACAAAATTCATGAGAATGCAATGCAACTTATTCAATAGCAATTTGTCAATCTAGGTTGCCTCAAAAGCAACATGCAAAGCCAGGAGCCAGGCCATGGAGACACAGGGGACCACTGGTTTGTGTCAAGCCGCTTGAGAAACAAATTCAAACAGAACTGCGGATGGAGCCAGGGACATGCTAGCACCAAAACCTTTGCAGTGGGCATGGTGCATGTAGTGACACACACATACAAAAACAATAACACTATACCTCTTAAATAAAATTCAGATTCTGCTGCCACATTTTGGAAACTATGCTTAACTTCATATATTTGAAACACAAATTATGCAAGGATAATCATCATGTTTGTAACATATTATGGAATTCTGCTAATGGCCCCATCTTTCAAATATACATTCACATATGCAGATATTGTAATTCCCTTCCCTTTAACATAAACCTATGTAATGTCTTCACAGAACACTAACTTAGAAAGCCTTGTTTGATCAGCTTTTGTTCTATGGTACACCATTTTATTAACAGTAACGGAGTAATGCACCAAAATAAGATTTATGGTTTTAAGTTTTGAATTTCTGCCAAGAAAAGTAATCTAGCAAATGATCATACTCCATTTCACTTTAATTAAGAATCGCCTTTATCACGACCACAGATTTAAGTACCTAATCATAAAATATGCCAGGGAGAGAAAGTGGTAAGTCCATTTGTGGAACAGAAATAACTCCATGATATCATAGTATTAGTCTGGAAGATCCTTATTAATAACCGTGACAGAGACATCAGTAGGTTTCAAGCAGGAGCATTATCCTGTAGTTCTGAGTGTTTTTGGACAAACATCCTGGACTCCAAAGGCTGGACTGTCAGTTCATTTTACTTAATTTCTAAATATGCTCTATTTTTACACCAGAATAGCAAACTCTTGAATCCCCCTGTGGGAAAGTGCCTTGAATGAATAATAAACTTGGGTTTGCTAACGATCTTCTATTTGCATGAAGAACAAAAAAAAATTAAATCCCTCCATGTATGAAAGATAGACAGATGGTTAAGATTGTAAGGCATTGAGTGGGGTATGTAAGAGAATCATTTCCCTTTGTAGCTTCTTTTTTCCATAATGGAGGATAATCCCTATTCTCTTATTATTGTATTTTCTTTATTTTTCTTTACTGGGTAGAAGGTAAAAAGTTAGGAAGATGAATAGGAAAGAGGTAATAGAGGGAAAAAATAAGCATAAGAAATCGAATGTAATCCAACGTTTTTTTTTGTTTGTTTTTTTTTTTTAATTTTGCATGTATAATTTATGTATTTTTTTTGTTGTTGTTGTATGTGATCTATATTTAAGAAAATCAATAAAAATAATTAAAAATAAAAGAATAGCAACCTCTGCCAAGAAACCTAAAAGGGAATAAATACACTCATGTGAATACCTTTAGAAAGGTGCTTGAGTCTTTGTAGATTTCCTCTTTATAAGGCAAGTTTTCCTCTTCCTTCTGTGGTTCTACTTTATCCTGTAAAGAGACAAGGACCTTGATTGTTCAACTTTAAGACATGGGTCATTAAGAAAAAAAAAAAAAAAAAATTACAAACAAAAAAAACCCCCCCACAAATATAAATATCTGGAATAGCTTTACATGATGGAGCAATAGTTTCCCCCTACTATGCAACCCACCATGTGCAGACAGTTAGCCAATACTGAACATGCCAGGTAGACTAATGGTTAAGAAAATAGTGATGCATATAATATGTTGGGACCTTGCAAAATTGAAGACTGTGACAAATATTGAATTGCTATAGTTATGCTAGATAAATCTTTTCAAATCGTTTTTATTAGGTATTTAATAATATAATAAAATAAAAATGACAATTAAATGAGCTATAATAAAAAAAATTGGGAAGGGGAAACTTGGGGAAGTATCCATACAAATTTACAATATTTTTGTGCAATATTGATATGTCTATATTTATTTATTGATGATAAATAATTATAATCTATGTAAAACGAATGAAACAAGTTTGTACAACTAATAATTTACAGTTTGAATATCTTGAATTATAAATGATAAGATTTAACCTTTTTTTTTTACCCACTCAGTCCAGAAATAATGAAGCTGATCCCAAAATAAAGATGGCTGTCTAATAGCCATCTCCAACGATTTGTTTTCTAATACTAACTTTAGTACATCAACTATAGAGGATATAGCAGGAGATTTCCAATATCTGGGTAAGTAAGATGTGGCGGCTATAAGAATATGTCCTATGATTACTCTGTCTACTTTATTAACAGATTATGGACATTTTTTTTAAAGAGCCCGAGTTCCGATGTAAAGATGGAAATATTTGAGTCAAAAGTCTTCATAAGTTTATGAATAGCACTCCAGAACATAGCGAGTTTAGGGCAAAACCACCAGAGGTGTGACATGGTACCCATCTCATTACACTCCCTCCAACATCTGTCTGAGACTTAAGGATTCATTTTGTGAAGGCGTGATGGAACCAGGTACCAACAATAGAGAATTTTTAAATGATTCTCACGATGACTAGCACACTGCGTGATACCTCTCAAGGCGAGAATAAAACGTATCCAATCCCCCAGCTCATATTGAACTCCCAAATCTCTTTCCCATGTTTCCATAAAAGATCATTTTGATGTGGGCCTAGGAGAAACATGGGAACAGCAAAAGGAGATTATGCCTTTACAATTTTGATTGAGGAGATAAAAATTTTCCAAATTTGACATTTTTTTATTATTTATCTCCTTTACCCAATTCTAATATTTCAAAATTTTCTTTCAATTTGTCTGTTATTAGAGTATATTTTGGTAATATAGAATCGTCCAAATCAAATTTTTCTTTAAATTAATCAAATGTTAAATGTGAATTCCCTGAAAAAGAAATTATCCCTGAAAATATATTATCAAAATTGTACATAGAATGGGAGTGCCAAAAAGTTAGATCCAGAAGGGTTAAGTAATTTAGAATTGATAATGGCATTGCTCCTGAGGGCAATCTTGGTTAAAGGAAACATGTGTTTAGCCTTAGGGCGTCCATTTAAATGCAGCCATAACAGTTCTTTAATAGAATATGGTAAGATCTTTTCTGCTTCTATTTCTTGCCACCTCAGCCTGTTATGATCAATGTTAAATTTAAAAGCAGAAGCCGCATTAGCAGCATTATAATACTTCCTAAAGTCTGGGACACCAAGACCACCGTTTACCTTTAAATGTTGCATAGTTATAAAATAAATCCTACTCTGTTTATTATTCCAGATATATTTAATCAATGTTGAAAGTATATTGTTAAAAAAGGACAATGGAATGGATAAAGGAATTGTTCTAAGGTAGTATACCATCTTGGGTAGAATAGTCATCTTAATAGATGTCAATCTGCCCGTCAACAATAACTCCATGCCGCACCATCTTTCCATCTTTTTTTGTAAACCAGGCCACGCTTTTTTTTTTTTAATTTTGGTTATGCATTTTAGACAAATTTTTGCATAAATTTATGCCTAAATATTGAATAGATGAATCTCTCTATTCAAAAAAGATATTCTTCTTCTTTCAGTTTATCCAAATCAAACCATGGAATAATAAATGGGAGTGCTTGGGTTTTAAGAGTATTGAGTTTTTAATATGGCATTTCTCCAAACTCTTTTAAGATAATATTTAGGGGTGTTCTGGATTTCATTGGGTTCTTTAGTGACAGTATGGTGTCACCTGCAAACAGTCCTATCTTATGGCTTGTATCACAACTATTAATGCCTTCAATTTCCGGTGTTTTCCTAATTATTTCTGCAAGGGGTTCCATGGCCAACACAAATAACCATGGGGATAATGGATTATCCAGCCATGAACAGCTTTATTCATTAGAAAATAGGAGTAAAACTACTTGGCAGGCTAATAGAAACTGTACTAATAGCTTGCCAAGTGGCAGACTCCTTGCATAAACAGGACTTCATTAACACATGTACAGCTCTCACATTGAAAATAACTGAAAGACCTAGTTGGCTAAGAAATTGCTGTCAGTCCCTGTGCATCGCTACTGAAGAACTGAGCTAAAAAGGAAATTTGTGCAAATAATTTTTTTTGTAATTTATTTAGGAATTATCTCAAGAAGCCCATTCACTGGCCGATTTATTTTGCTTGGTATTCCTTGACAACTTTTGCATACAGAACTTACCTTGCATTCTTCAACCACCTCTTCATTTGGTTCTCCTTCTTCGGGTACTTTTCGCTTTGAATTTGAAGCTGCTGTGTCATAAGATGCACTTAAGGAATAAAATAGAAAAAACATTTATGGAGTAAAAATAAAATCTACACATGCTGATATGAAAGATACCACTAAATGGTCTTTGTATAAATGATTGCCATTTTAATGGAGAAGCAGACATGAGTAGATGCTACTGCATTTTATGTTAATAAAACGTATCCAACTTACTATTCATGTTGTATCAAGGTAACAGTATGACAACTTATATTAGTCCCAATACTTAAATGGGAACTGTCCCTTCCCACAGGATTTAAAAAAAAAAAAAAAAAATCTATTTGTAAGTTGAGGAAAAAAATAAATACAATTAAATGCAGACATGTAAACCTATTTTTCCTGAAACAAACTACCTCTATCTTGGCTCTCTGTCAATGTCATACGTTCCATCATATGCAACCTGCAGTCAACTTAGAGAAAGCATAAGGTGAAGAAATCAAACAATGTTCCTAGTTCTCCTTATTTGCAATTTGGGCTCTGGCTGTCCCTAAACTGAACTGGATTAAGATGCTATTTCCTCATTTCTCTTATAGAAATGAAATTGAAAATTAAGCATCACATGAAAAAAGGTTAACACAGGTTACAGGTGATTTTCAATGTTTTATTCAATGAGGTAATTTCCAGAGAAGTGACGATTCCCCTTTAATCAGAGTTATGAAGGGGGAAAAAATTAAAAATAAAGACAAGACAGAACAATCATGGTGCCTTAGGACAAGCATATTTTTGCATCAACTCAGACTAAGCTCATAACTTACCTGTCATGGAAATATAAAAAGCTGGCACATCACAGAGCAGACCATTTCCAATTTGCTGGCTAATGTTTAGATGTAATTCTTGCAAAACACAAAAAGATGATAGCTGCACTCCACGGTCTTCTTATATTAAAAATTCAAATAGCTTTATTAGATATGCATTAAAAGAGATCGACGTTTCAGCCCGATGCTGGGCTTTCCTCAAGATCAGAAAAAACAAACAAGTGGGCGATATTCGATGCTAGGTACCTCCTCTTGATCAACTCGAGAATAAGCTTTCCCTCAGGACTCCGGCACTCGGTGATAACTCAGAGCTGCGAGGGAGAGCTTATTATCGAGTTGATCCACAACCTATAAAAGGATTAGCCCGGGAAGCAGTCATGAACTATACACTGCTGCCAGGTGTGTGTCAGTGAGCTGACTTTTTACTATGTGGGTTCTAGTGAACTGAGCTTGTGTGCCAGTGAGCGTGTGTGCATGTATATGTGTGCCAGTGAGCGTGTGTGCATGTATATGTGTGCCAGTGAGCATGTGTGCCAGTGAGCATGTGTGCATGTATGTCTGTGTGTCAGTGAGCTTGTGTATGTGTGTAGTAACCTTGTGAGTCAGTGAGCTTATGTGTAGTGACCTTGTGTTTGGGAACTTGTGTGTAGTAACCTTGTGTATGTGTGCCAGTAAGCTTGTATATAGTAACCTTATCTCTGTGTCTGAGCTTGTCTATGTGTGTGTCAGCGAGCTTGTGTGTAGTGACCTTGTGACGGTGTGTCACTGAGCTTGGGTGTAGCAGCCTTGTGTGCTACTGAACTATTTAAGTGGTTTGATCTCCTTGTAAGGTAATAAAACGTACCTTATTTCTCAGGCAATCCAATGCTTTCCCATAGGAGAGATCGTCAAGCAGGCAGTGCCAAATGCCCAGCTTGGCCAATCAGCATCTCCTCAGAGATGCACTGAATCAGAGGAAGGAGGGCCAGATAGAACAATAGTGCAGGGAACACAACTTTGTATTCCTTACACTATAGAATCCCTTTAATTATCTCACATAATTAAGCTCACAAGTGAATATAAACGGTCAGTTTCTGCTCACATGCACTGCTATCCCTTGCATTAATGCTTACATTGAATGATAACAGTGGCTACATTTAGGTAAAAAGTAGCACAGGGGTTATGCGATATGTACAGTTGTACGGCCGGCAAAATGTTTCACAACTTCCTGTTGAAAGAGGACTACTACACAGGGGATCAATGATGGAATGATACTGAAGACAATACAGGTGTATGTTGGCAAAGTGTTAGATATATAGATTTACCGGCAGGTTTCTCTAGTTTCTGCTATTTCCCTCAGCTCATCTTTGCTGTTTAGTATGGCTCCAATACTGTCAGCACTTTCTGCTCCTAGCTTTAGAATTAAGAAGAAAAACAAAAACATTATTTATGTAATAAGACTGCATAATTCTACATTAGCATTATATTATACAGCCTTTTTTTCCTTTTGCATTGCCTCTACCCATTAAATCATTACTTCGCTAGTTTTCTAGCGCTCTTTACACTATACATGTGAACCTGACTTATCAGCGTATTCCTAGTAGGTTATGAATACAGACTTACAGAACACAAGGATGTTTTCAAAAAAAGATTTAAAAAATAAAAACACTTTTACCATGCTAAAAATGTTGTTTGTAGATAATGGCCACTATATCTAGTATTCGGATATAACATTGATGAAATAACTAAACCAACTCAAAGAACCCACTTAAAACAATCAAAACCTCAACAGCTTGTTGTAGTCGTTATGATGGAATGAGTGTTCCATGATTCTTTGTCATTCTAAAGGCATGCTAAGCATCATGGAAGTTGTAGTTCTACAACATCTGGGGATCTACCTTTTGGGCATCCCTGAATTACAGCATTATTACTGTCCAAACGTGTACTGGTAATGCATAACATTTCACTTGAAGGTACACTATAGTCACCATAACAACTACAATTTATTGCATTTGTTCTGGAGAGTATAATTAATCCCTTCAGGATTTTTGCAGTAAACACTGTCGTTCAAGAGAAAAGGCAGTGTTTACATTTCAACCTAGGGATACATCCACTAAGCATATGCTGATTGGCTTGTGCTGGCTATGCCCCTGATCTACGTCCTTGACAGTCTCATCAAATCCAATGCTTCCCTATGGTAAAGCATTGTGTTTGGCTTTGATCACCACTTCTGATAGTGTCATCTAAGCAGGCAGATCACATGCAGAGCCAGCAGCAGACTGGAATTTTAGTAGGATTTTACTATATTTAGGAGGCAAAGGGGCTAGATGACCTTGACAATTTACAAAGCTCCCACACCCACATACCCTTCACTCAGTCTTCTCTTTCAGAAGAATTAAATTAGTTCTACAGAGCCTTGCTTAGGCAAGGCCTTGCTCATTGCCTTCACCAGCTGAGTGTCCTCAACCAATGAGCAAAGTCCTACATTAACTATGCTTACCTCTTTAGAGACATTCAATTCTCCTGCAGGAAAATACTGGATTTGCACATCTGCCAGGTGCCCCAGGTAAGTTCTCAAACTATTCTAAAACATTCTGACTATTTACTGTGGGACAATCCCAGGCTGTAATTTCCATAGTAAAGAAAAACATACAGTACCCAAATTAACAGTTATTTTGTGACTATAGGTTCCTTTATAACAAAGTGATCACTGTCCACCGCCTTTTCTCCATAAACGTTAGTAAAAATATTACTCAACTTGTTTCAAGTGCTTCCAGAACCCCCCCTTCTCCTCCGTTTATGTCAGCATCCAAGTGACATCACTAACCATCTCCTCCAATAAACTTCATCTCATAGAGAAGTAATGGATTGGAACTAGGCATGTCCATCCAAAACACCACAGTTTCAGTAGCCTTTGATTCCAGCATCAAGTTTCACTTGCTTCTGGAGAAGGAAGTGCCTTTAGTGGAAGTCAGGTACAGGGATTTTAACCTTGCCATTTAAACATTTCACAATGTTTTACATTGCAGGGTTAAAAAGAAAGGGCCACATCACTCAGACCACTTCATTGAGAAACATGACCCACTTTATATTAGGGGACTATTCGAATACACTAGTGTTACTCAGCTCAACACTTTACTGTAACAGTCGTCACCATCAAAATTGGTACAATAAGTACAATACATCATTACGGTTTTTAAATGCTAAAAACGTTTATTGAAGAATTTTAAAAACACAGGGACAGAACATTAAAAAAAAAAAAAATTTGTTTGCCACTTTCTTTTAATAAACTATTCTAATAATACTCAGCTTTGTTTAGATAGCTCACAATAATAATAATAATAATAAAAAAGGTAAAACATTTCTGAAAAAACAAACAAACCCTCTAATATATTGAATCAGCAGGATAGTTCTTAATGATAGCTAACCATGATGGCAAGATGTACTCTACCATCAATAAGAGCTATGTGAGGAGCATGGCTGAGCTCTGGCTGAGTGTGGAGGGCAGACCCCCGCTGCCCATACAGTTCTCTGAGAGCTGCTGAGGTTCTGTTATCAGCCATTGCTGTGTGGGTGTTGTATGCCCAATGGCAGTCAAAGGGTTAAGATCAGTGGGGGTGTCTGACACACTAGGCCAGGCATTAAAGCTCATGATGGCGGTGTGGGCTACCTGCTGGGCTAGCAGCTTCCTGCGGAGCTTCTGCCGGGCTCTGATCTCCTGCAGGCGGCTGTTCATAACTTCACGTTACCGCGGACGAGCTGTTGATAAATCCCGCCGAATCCGGTGGTGGAAATAGACCTCAGCTGGAGTTTAGAGCATGGAAGCCGCGCTCTTTGATGACGTCACACAACAAAAACAACAGCGACGCGACGTGAAAGGATGAGAGTGTCGGCCATGTTTGATACTGGCATCATTACTGGTAGAAACCTTCAGAATGATCAGAATCATTGATTTTATTTTTTGTATTTATCCCCCTGTGCATGGAGAAGATAACAACAAGGGGAAGAAACTGCAAAGAGACTCGGTATACATGATACATTTAATGTTTGTATGGCATGAATGTAGTAACACTAAGAATGGATTGTTTGTTTGTTTTATGGGAAGTTATACATTACAAAGTAACAGAGTATATTGGCAGTAATATGTGTTTATTTAAAGAAATTATAAATACAGAAACTGAACTGTACCTAAGTTGAAGGATTGCATGTGATAAAGTATTTTGCAGACACAAAAACAAAACAAAATACCTCATTGCATTGGACCAATTTGAAATATAGGCAACAATAAGCAAGTTCTAAATACAAAATAAATGAAGGTTGCACCAAAGCTCACCGTAGTGCAGCTACATATGAACAAAGTCCAGAATGTAGTAACAAATCTTTGAGAAGTAAAAACCTTTACACAAAGGAGATACCGGAACAAAGTCTTAAGAAAGCCTGATGGGACAGCAACGGCCTGTGTAGAGGAATATGAGGATCGAATGGAGGTAGTTTCACAGGAAAGAGAGGAGAAGGTAATAGTGCAGTATGTCTGGTAAATAATTTTTTTTTTAAAAAGTGGACAGCAGGAAGAAAGGGCCTATGTTAATCCTACTCACGTGTAGTAGAGCTAAACTAGCTCCAGTGTGGATGGCATACAGCGGTATAATCCCCGCTTATAGGATACGTAGGGAGTTGTTGGTCTTTTGTTCCGGATGTGGGGGGAAAAAAGACAGATGATAATACGTCTAATATAGATGGATCAGTAGTATCACAGCAGTGTCTTAATTAGTCCTACTCACGTGCAGTAGAGCTTGAACCAGCTCTAGTGTGGATGGCGTACAGCGGTATAATCCCCATTTATAGGATATATGTAAAGAGGTAAGTACCGTACCGGTATGTAGACCGTAGGAGAGAAGAGAGACAATTGATAGTGCTTGCAGTCTTAAAATAATATCAAAGGAGTATAAGTAATAAATTGTGTACTCACATATCATTGAGCAGGCGGACTGGTCAATGATTCAGGCGTAAGTGGTATAATCCCCACCTAAGATTTCTTTGGAGTAATACTCAGCAGGAAGAAATAAAATCAGGATACCAAGCAGTAATAGTAAAAAAATAAAATAGAATAAAAAAGTAAAATGGTACAATCAAAGTGAGTTTTAAAGTAGCCAAAATACCTTTATTAGGAATGCAGAATAAAATATTAAAATATCCACTGGATATTTTAATATTTTATTCTGCATTCAATGATAAGTGCCGTTTATGTGTGAAAAATGCAAAAACTTTAGCCAGTGTTTGTGACTCAGTGGATACGAAAACCACTGGACATGTATCCCATTTGCAATAGGCGGGGACCTGTTAAGTACAAAGGACAGTGGGGACGTTCTATGCCGCCCTGTGACCTTTAGGACCACCCCAATAAGAACGGCACAGAATGGGGTCAAGGGGTTAAAGCTAAAATTTTTCAAATTTTAGAATACTGAGACTACAAGTTTTTTAGTCACAGATATGTAAAATTTCAGGAAATTTTAAAGCCATGATTAGGAGAAAAACAAAACAGTTTTATTATTCCTGTTTTGAAAAAAAACATGCTTAGCATAGAGCGCTCATTAATTGAAAGTCAGTATGTTACACTGGGAACATAATATGCAGTTGGTATAAAAAGTGTTATGCTTGATATATAAGCACTGCTTATTCAGTAAATAATAAACCAAATTTGCTTTTTAAAATGTTATTTTTTGGTACAATTTAACAACAAGGTCCAAATATGTTAAGAAAATGTGAACTAAAAGGAATAATTTTGCCAGTACATGAGAACAGGGAATCCCCCCCTCCCCCCTCCCCAAAATGAAATATCATAAAAACCATCAATGTAACAAAACTAAGAACATTAATTTATCTTCTTTAATCCTCCTACTGATTGATTGCAGGAAACCGAGAGAAAGCATACATTTCCATTAGAGAAACTCCAGACTCATAAAGCACTTAAAGGGATACATTTCAGACCCCTAAAGCCGGTGCTGCCATCAGGGGTTGTTATCCATGACGGCTGTGTATCTGTGTGTGGGTATATGTGTGTATTTAACTATGTGTCGTGTGTGACTGTGTGACTGCATGCGTTTCTGTGGGCCCAGACCTTGAGCTGTGTTGGCCCCAAAACCTCTGATGGCAGCCCTGCCTAATGCACTTTACATTGCTCAAATGCTTTGCGTGTGAAAAGTGTGTCGTCTTTTTTTCATTTTACAAAGAGCATATTTTAATAGAAATTGACCCATTTATGAATTTACATGGTCATCAGCAGTGGCAGAACTACCACAGTCACTCCAGGGGGCCAGGCCGCACTGCTAACCCCTACGACCGTGAGCAGCCTGAAAGGGCGGATGCCGAGAGAAGCCCTCTCACAGGGGGTCCAGGAGGTGGCAATCTAGCCACCTTTGGGCACCCCTGAATTGGCACTTAGCCAGTGAGGCAGAGTAGACTGGACCCCAGGGAGAGGACCCACAACAGCTCTCCAAAACGTAGGGAGGCTGGGTGGGCCTCAAAGAATTACACTTAATTTGTAAAAAAAATGTGTGAGTGTGTCTGTCAGTGTGTGTATTTGTGTGTGTGTCAGTGTGTATCTGCCTGTCAGTGTGTGTGTGTGTGTGTGTTTGTCTGTCAGTGTGGGTGTCTCTCTGTCAGTGAGTGTGTGTCTCAGTTAGTGTGTGTGTCTGTCTGTCAATGTGTGTGTTTGTCACAAATGTGAGGGGGTGGGTAAGAAACATGGAGGGATTGGGGGAGACACATGAGAGGTTGGGGGGTGCGAGAGATACCTTGGGCATGAGAGAGAGACATGAATGGGCTGGGGGGTGGGATAGATACATGGGGGGTTGGAGAGGTACATGGAGGAGCTAGGGAGGTAAGACACATGGAGGGATGGGGGGATAGTGAGATATGTAAAGGGACTGGTGGGGAGAATGTGACACTTGAAGTGGCTTGCGGGGGGAGTTGGGAGGGATGAGACACAATGGGTGTTCAGTGCAGTTTTTTGTGGTTTCTAGTTACGCCTCTGGTCACAGGTCCTATTACTTCCTGGTTTGGTTAACTCAGTTCAACTAAACTCAAGAGGCAGCAATTGCCCAGAGCACCTGCCTTGCAAAGACTTCTCATGGAGCTGCATTGGGAAGTCTGTGATTGGACAGCCACAGAACGTCTGGGTAATGTTAGAAGGAGAGATCTTGCAAATGTTTTAGGCAAGAGAGCTACAGCTTTTACAAGTTGTTTGTAGATCTACCTATAATTAAAAAAATGCATAAATAAATGCACGCATGTTTTCATTGGGGGCATATCTATTAAACAGTGATATATGATTTATTACGTTTAATTGGGCAATGGAGTGTCCCTTTAAGCTTGCTGAAGTGTTCTTGGGGTCTTTAGGAGGTCCCTCTTAGTTCCGTTTTATTAAAGTGCCTGTTTCATGCGAAGGCATTTTAATAAAACAGGATGGGAATATATAATAATAATTAATAATATAATAATAATAATAATAATAATATTAGGGCTTCCTCTCTCACTACGAGAGAACTAAAAGTTTTCTTGTGAATTTTCTCTTAGAAAAATGTTTTGGCCAATCAGATTGGCGCATTTTCTAAAATTTTTAGGGAAAGGGCTGTATCAAATAGAAGCATTACTCGGAATCAAATCATCATTTAGATAAAGATTACGAAGATAAAATAATGCAGTTAAAATTATCAGAATTCGGAGGAATTTGAATGCTTACCTTTCAAATGTACAGTGCTGCGGAATATGTTGGTGCTTTATAAATGCCAGTAGTAAACGATAAAATAAATATGTATTCCTAAGGCTTTAGTGTTCTTCTCTAGTAAAATTCAGGGCTCCCTAAATTAAATTTGAAAAAAGCTAGGTGTTTTTGTTTTTTTTACTTGTCTGTCTTTATTTTTGCGGTGCATAGAAAAACAAACATTCTTGCAATGCCCCAACAGCAGTAGCAAGTTATCAAAATACATAACAGTGTGTGTGTGGCATTTGAAATTACTGCAAATTTTTTAAGTAAGTAGCATACAAAAACAGACTAGGTTAAGTCAGTCTAGCTATTAGTCAGGACAGAGGCTATGCATAGTCTGACTAAAGATTGAAATCTAAGCATGAGACAAAACGTAAATTATAAGTGTGTTAGGCTAGCCAGACTTAGAGTGTAATTAAAGGGACACTGTAGTCCCTAAAAGCATTTCATCTCTTTGAATTGGTTATAGTGCCTGGAGTGCCCTGGCACTGTCCCTCCATTCAGTATTGCACCATGTTCGTGCAGTATGCCACAAAATAAGAGTCCCTGGCCACCCACAGTCCGGCCCCTTCAGTATGTGTAGCTAAGGCAGAGATTACAGACTTCCTTGTTGTCATACCCATTCATACCGTCAGTTAGAACTCTGACAGGCTAAAAGCAGTCAGCTGACAATCACAGCTGCCTATTGCTGCTCAGGCTAATATTTCCTTATTAGCCAAAGCAGCACAGAAGGGATGGATTGCCGGGGAATCTTGTTTAGCATTAAAACATTAAAAGTTTAAAAACTGTTTAATGCTGAAAGAAATGATGATACCAGAGGACTCCAGACACTATAACCAGTTTAATGAGATGAAGCAGATACAGTGCCTACGGTGTCCTTTTAAGTAAACATGCGTTAAAACTATTTAGGAAGATAATAGAAAAAACATTGCACCCCCACCGGTCCAAAGGAGGGGGAAACGGTGAACAAAGTGGATTAGCGCAGAAAATGTCATACCTTGCCTAGTTATATTCATACCAGATCTCTAAATCTTCTTAAATCAACGTATATCATGGTTAAGTAGTATAGACG